GGGCTATATAGATAAAGCTTGGGCAGAGACCAAACATTCTCAGATAAACCTTGTCTAGACATGTGTTATATTCCATGAGCTAGTTGCATATATAATTTGTCAGTAGGTTATTTGGTTAATATGGTTCCCTCTGGTTTTTAAAACTAGCTAGGCATTATTTATCTCTCGCATTGTCTAACCCCTCCATCATGGTTTTCCCAGTTAAAGTGCCCCATTTTTCCCCTTTCTCCTTTAATAATACCCTTCTCCTATGGTCCTACCTCTCTTGAGCTCCTTCTTTCCCTTTATCCTATAGGTTCCTTGTATACCCTTCCCTCCCCCTCCCTTAAACTAACCCAATTTTATCCATATCTCCCTTATTAAAGCCTGTTTCCTACTGTTCTTATCTTTCAGGTTCTTTCTTTTCCTTTACCTTCATTTCCTTTCCATTATCCTGGTTCCTGTAGTTATGTCTGGATACATACTCACTTATCAGGGTTTGGTTCTAGGATCCACATATGAGGGAGAACGTATGTCGATTTTTTTTCTGAGTCTGTGTTACTTCACTTAGTATAACAGTTTCTAGTTCCATCCATTTACCTGCAAATTTCATGATTTCATCTTTCTTTACTGCTGAGTAAAACTCCATCATATAAATGAACCACATTTTCATTATTCCCTCGTCAACTGAGGGACACTTAGGTTGCTTCCATTTCTTAGCTATTGTGAAAAAAGCAGCAACAAACATGGATGTACAAGTGTCTCTGCAATAGGATGAGTTCTTTGGTTATATGCCAAGGAATGGTATAACTGGGTCAAATGGTAGGTTCATTTGTAGTTTTTTTTTTTTTTTTGGTCTTTTTGAGACAGAGTCTCCCTGTAGCCCCAGCTGTCCTGGAACTTACTATGTAGACCCAGCTGGCCTTGAACTCACAGAGATCTGCCTGCCTCTGCCTCCCGAGTGCTGGGATTAAAGGCGTGTGCCACCACACCCGGCAATTTGTAGTTTTTTAGGAGTTCACCACACTGCTTTCCATAGGAGTTGAACAAGTTTGCAGCCCCACCAGCAGTGGGTGAGTGTTCCCCTTTCCCCACATCCTCTCCAGCATTTGGTATCATTTGTTCTCTTGATCTTAGCCAGTTTGACTGGGGTAAGATGAAATCTTAAAGTGGTTTTAATTTTCATTTCTCTAATTATTAGTGATGTTGAACATCTTTTAAGATGCTTCTTAGCCATCTTTACTTCTTCTTTTGAGAACTCTCTGTTCAGCTCCTTAGCCCATCTTTTAATTGGGTTACTTCCTCTTGATTCTCTGTTTTTAGCATTTGTTATATATTCTGGATGTTAAACCTCTGTCGGATATGTCACTGGTGAAGATTTTCTCCCATTCTGTGGGTTTTCTCTTCACTTCCCTGGTTGTCTCCTTTGATGTACAGAAGCTTTTTAGTTTAATGAGGTCCCATTTGTTGATTCCTGACCTTGTTTCCTGAGCAGTTGATGTCTGGTTTAGAAAATCCTTTCCTACACCTATGTCTTGTAGGTTTTTGCCAATGTTTTCTTCTAACAGTCTCAGAGTTTTGGGCTTTACATTGAGGTCTTTGATCCATTTGGAATTGATTTTTGTGCAAGGTGAAAGATAGGGGTTTAGTTTCATTCTTCTACAGGTGGAGATCCAGTTTTGCCAGCACTGTTTGCTGAACATGCTGTCTTTCCCCCAGTGAATGTTCTCTAAATAAGAATGTTTAAACAAGAGAAGTTTCCTTCTGTGTGAAGGGACGCTCTAACTTTTCTGTACTAGGTTGGCACTTGGTACCATGTAAGGGTTGGTGGTTTTCTAAAGCTTAAAAATTATTTTTAATCCGGGCGTGGTGTCTCGCATGCCTTCTGTGAGTTCAAGGCCAGCCTGGTCTACATAGGGTGTTCCAGACTGGCTGGGGATACATAGTGAGAACTTGTCTCAAAACAAAACAAAAATTCTTTTTGAAAAAGGGTCTCATCATGTAGCCTAGGCTAGCCTTGAATTCACTATGTGGCTGAGACTATCCTTGAATACCTGCTCTTCCTGCCTCCCCCGACCCAGTGCTGGAATTATAGGTGTGTGTTACCATGCCCAGTTAGGACTGGAGTTCTGAGGAAGAGAGCACAGGAAGGTTCTGGGTAGCTAGATCCTGTGGGTGGTTCTGGCAGTTTGCCTCAAATTGCAAACATTCAAGAGCTTTCCAGAGTCAGAAATGATTTGTGTGTATTCGGCAAACCCTGCTGACTGAGGTCACCGTCAGGCACAGCATTAGATTGCATCAGTCCATGCTGTGGAGGGGAAGAGTGCAGGTCATGGGTTCCTGGGGACAGGTGAGTCTGTGGCCTCAGGAGGGAATTAACAAGTGAGTCTTCTTGGGCCTTCACAGAGAAGGGAGTGTCCACAACTCTAACACCTCTATTCTTTCTTAAGGCATTTTGTTTCTGTTTGGAGGCTTCAGACTTGAAGTTGGTCAGGCTAAGGAGCTCTGAAGGACACCCGCTTCAGAATAGCACATGAAAAGAATCATAAGAAAGCTCCACTTCGCCCTCCTTCTGGCCTATGAGGCCAGGGACAACATCAGGAGCCTCTGTTGGCAACACTACCTGCGTCTGCGTCTGCCATAGTCAGTGCAGATAGGGAGGCAACGACACTGAGCTGTAGCTTCTGAGCACCAGTTCCTTGTGTTTATCCCGGTGGTGAAGGAGAAGGGGACTTAGAAAGATGGGGACTGGAAAGATGGGGGCTGGAAAAGCATGTCCTCCATCTCCTTGTTAAGGGAGTCCAGCACCATCCCTGTGTGTTTTCCATGTACTTTATGCTGCCAAAGTGAACTCTGTATCTTCGGACTCTAGAAGAGAGCCTGGTGGAACAGGGAGCATGCAGGCTCGGGGTCTGCGTCTTTAGCTGCCCTGCCTAAGGCTAAAGAAGACAGAAAATTTGAGTCCCAATAGTCTCTCCTGGGTAAACATGGACTTAGTTCCTTCAAGAAATTTTTTTTTGCTTTGAAATAATTATAGAGTCACATAGCCTTCAGCACTTTGGAAAATATCATCACCCTCTCTTGTCCTTTAAGTTTTCTACTTAGAAGACTACTGCTAGCCTTACTGAAAATTTCTTATAAACGATAGGTTTCTTTTATCCTGATGGCTTTGGACGCCTCTGTGTTTATTTTTTGACAGCTTGATTGTACACGGTGATCTAACGTTATTTGTATTTATCTTGTTGGAATTCCTTGACCTTCCTGTGACTGCATATTTGTCTTCAGATATAAGTTTTTCCCTGCTATTCTTTCATTCTTTCTTTTGGTCCATTTTTTTAGTCTTTTTGAGACAGAGTCTCTCTGTACCCCTAGCTGGCCTGGAACTCACTATGTAGACCAGGCTGGTCTTGAACTCACAGGGGTCCCCCTGCATCTGCCTCCCAGGTGCTGGGATTAAAGGCATGTGCCACCATGCCTGGCTCTCTTTTTAAAGATTTATTTATTTTCATTTTTGTGTGTATGTGTGTGTGCTTGTATGAATTTATGTGCACCAGGTATGTGCAGGAGCCCACAAGTACCAGGAGAAGGAATCAGATCCCTGGAGCAAATGGTTGTGAGCCACCACATAGGTGCTGGGAACTGAACCTGGGTGGTCTGCAAGAGGAGCCAGTGCTCTGAACTACTGAGCCACCTCTCCAGCTCCTAGCATAGGCTTTTACTCTGGTACTTACTCATGAGGAAGTATAAGGACTCAATAATCAAAGCAGCTGCTAAGAGCTTATTGGGCTTAATATCATCAATATGTGTGGCCCTCCTATTTGTAGTAAGAAGGGGCCATGGAGGGCAGAGAGGGCAGAGTGGAAGGAAGACGCAGGGCAGTCAGGACTTTTGACTTCTAGTCTCGGGCCACAGTTGGCTAGGAAAGTACACAAGTCTTTTGCTTTTTCTGACTTCAGTTTCCCCTACTAGGATGAAGATGGAGTCGCCCCATACTTTTTTCACCAGAAAGGTTCATCAAGTATAAGGTGAGTCCTCAGTGCCACCGCTCATACCCACACTTCAGCCGGGATGATGTCTTGGACTGTACTAGTGCTATGACTAGGCCAGTAATGATTCAACACTAAGTGTCCGCACACACCCTGGGAGAACGTAGCAGTAATAATGGGCTGCATGGGACATCACAAGCTCGTAAAACAGTATTAAGTGGAGGTAATTCACACATAGGATCATTAACCTCTGACTCATTTCAAAGATGAGTATCAGTGCTACCCTCAGAGGCTCCCCCTGGTCTGTATGAGACTTCTTCCTGACAATAGGAAAAAGTGGCTTCAGAGGAACACACAGGTGCACCAGTGCATGTCCTGTGTCAGCTTGGGTCCTCTGAATACCTCTCCTCCCTCCTCTGTAGGGGAAGCAGAGAGAAGAGAGGTCCCACTCACCAGCTCACATCTTTGACTTTGAGGAATGGTGTCTTTAGTCTGGCCATTGCAAGGAGAAGAATGTACATATTAGCTCTCCTTCTGTCCCAGTGCAGTGCCACACCACACATACAGGAACTGCTCTGGGAGGCAAGTCTCTGCCAAACCCTAAAAGCCCAAGCCATTCCATCTAGCAGAGGTAAAGCACTCCCCCTACCTCCTTAGCCTCTAGTCCAGGGACATAGTCATACTATTGAGAGACAGGCCAAGTTGCCCTGTAGCCCTAGACATGTCCTCCCCCAGTAGGACACAGGATCTGTGTGTGTATGTGTGTGTGGGGGGGTGTTTCTACAGGTTGTCAACCCGCAAGGATGCCACCTCCACTAGAAACTAACTTACTTGGTGGGAGAAACTAGGCCCTGGTAGTTCCTGCTAGGTCCCACAATGTGCCAGGTCCTTCCTAGACTTTGGTTCCCAGTGCTGCAGAATCCTGGGGTACCTGAGAACACTGTTCAGCCAGAATCTTCTCAGAGATTGTTTTTTTTGTGGGGGAAGAACAGAAAGGAAGATGGATAAAGAACATTTGGTGCCAGTATGTCTCACAACTGTAATCTCAGCACTTGGAGGGGAGGTAGGAGAACCACCGCAAGTCTGAAGCCAGTTAGTACTACGTAGTGAGACCTTTTAAAAACAAAACAAAAACAAAAACAAAACAAACTTCACACATGAAAAAAAAATCAGTGTCTTGTGATTTTAGTAATAGGATGGGTGATAAGAAAATGTCACAGGAGAAATGTAGTTCCAGATAAAGCAGGGCAAAGGGTGCCACAAAAGACAAATTGGGAATGAATAAATGAGATTCACCCCTGACCAGCTAGCTGTCTGAAGTCTACAAAATCTCCTGGGCTTTAAGACCTGTTCTAGCTACTCAGTGACCAGGGGTGCTGGCGAAGAAGAAGCAGGCAGACTGCAGGCCCAGTAGAACCAACAGCTATATATTCCCCAAAGAAGCTAGAGACCCACAGTTCCAGCCCCACTGGCGGCCACCCTAGCACCCAAGCAAAAAGCAGGCTTTCCCCCTGGTTAACTGCTCCCATTAATTACTTTTGGGGGATAATTTGTCTTTCTAATTAACTAAGACAGTGATTAAAATCAATTCCCTCATAGAATTCCTTCAGTTTAGAGCCTGAGGAGGTGCCAAGGAACTTTTCTTAGCTCCCGCTTGTACACAGATAAATGCCACTTAAAGAGCAGCTTTGGGAGAAACATCCAGGGGGAGAAACTCCCGCTGTCCAGGAGGAACTGGGAGACAGAGTCCATCAATCTGCCTGTTTGTCAGTTTCAGAGTTTGGCATTTCTGAAAATGGTAGGCAGCTGTCAAACTGCCCACCCCAAACTGCTACTAATCAGAAGGAAAAGGATGCTGAACTTCAGTCATTGCCCAGGAACAGCCAGAAGAGGGTCCTGGCTCTGGAGAAGCCCCGGGTCAGCCCCTCCGCACTTGCGTTTGGATGTACTTCTCTCACTCCAGAGATCTGAGGCCCGAGTCCTGGAAACATGACGGGGCAACACAAGCTGGACTTGCTTCCTGCCTCAGAAAAGTGAGCAGATGCTGCCTCAGAGGGAGTCGTGGGGAAGTGCTTATAGAGGGAGGGATTGCAATTAGATTGAGAAAAGCTACCACACTGACCTTTCCATGTTCTTGACTCTGTTCCTGGATGTGTTCCCTAAATGGAAAGGGAAAATAGGTTAAGGATGTGAGGAGCCATGAGAGGGTCAAGGAATGGGGCCTGGTAGGCTGAGTTGCTGTGGTCTGTCCCACTTCGCCTCCTGCTGTTGGGAGGCCTGAGAACCAGACTCTCAGGTGGTGAGCTGGAGCAGACCTGGGTACAAAGGGTCCTCTGCTTCCCAGGGCCACGATCAGTGTGGGGCCTTTGTGAATCTCAACGGCAGTTGACTCTCTCTGCAGGACATGTAGATGGAACAAAGAGCAAGTGCTTTGGAGTTCCTCAGGGCCAGGTGGGAAGCTTTGCCACCCCAAATGTAGTTGATGAAACAAAAGTCATGAAAGACCCACCACGGACGGACGGGAGCTCACTTAACTGCAGCTTTACCTTCCAGGTGCTGCTGGCATTCCTGGCCACCTTGTAGGACAAGGGTGAAGACAGTGAACCTTTGCTTTCCTGTGCCTATTCTGTAGGTCAAAACCAATATTTAAACCAAAGTCAAGTTAAGGATGATATTAAAAACTAAATGAGGCCGGGCATGGTAGCACATACCTTTGATCCCAGCACTTCAGAGGCAGATGGATTTCTTTTTTTTTTTTTTTCCCAGCTGTCCTGGAACTCAGTTTGTAGACCAGGCTGGCCTTGAACTCACAGAGATCCACCTGCCTCTGCCACCCAAGTGCTGGGACTACAGGCGTGCGCCACCATGCCCGGCTTTTTTTTTTAATTTAAAAAATTTTATTATTTTTGTTTTATGTGTATGCGTGTATTGCCTGCATGTAGGTAAGTGCACCCGTGTCGTGCAATGCCCTCGGAGGGCAGAAGAGGCTGTTGGGTCACCTGGAACTGGAGTTACGGACAGTTGTTAGCTGCCATGTGGGTGCTGGGATTCAAACCCAGGCCTTCTGCAAGAACAACCAATGTTCTTAACCACTGAGCCATCTCTCCAGCCCCCGGCAGATGGATTTCTGAGTTTGAGTCTATCCTGCTCTACATAGCAAGTTCCAGGCCAGCCAGGGCTACACAGTGGAATTCTGTCTCAAAAAATAAAAACCAACCAACCAAACAAACAAACCACTACCATCAACAACAAAAAACTAAATGGAGAGGTTACAGAGATGGCTCAGCAGTTAAGAGCACATAGTGCTCTTACAGAGGACCCGAGTTTGGTTCCTAGCACCCTTATCAGGTGGCTTACAACCTCTCCTAACTCCAGCTACAAAGGATCTGATACCTCTGGTCTCCATGGGCATCTGCACTATAATGGGCATACCCCGACACAGACAGATACATAATTTAAAATTAAAAAAAAAATCTTTAAAAAACAGAATAAAATAAAGTAAAAAAGCTGGTAAGTGGGGTGTAAATTATATCCAAAACTCCAATCCTCTGGTCTTTGATTTCTTATTCCTATTTTTCTCCCCTTAAACTTCATTGTATATATTATATTTATGTCACTTGCTTCAAGTTACTTCTGGAAAAATGTGTTTAAAATTGCCTCTCTTTGGAGAAATAATAAAAAAAAATTGTTTTAAGGATTTCATAATGAGGATGTGTTTATCCAAGAATGCAAAGATAGTCTGAAATATTCAAATTAATAAATAATGCAGCATATGAAGAGAGCCCATGCCCAAAATTACCACACACACACACACACACACACACACATACACACACACACGTACAAAAAAAAAGACTCCAAAATAAATTATGATGTTAAAGTAAAAATGCTATGTATTTGCACAAAGGTGAAGATTCTTTGTTTCTAGGATCAAAATCAGGGTCTGTGCATGCTAGGTAAATGCTCTGACCTGAGCTAAAACTGCAGCCCAAGGGCTTCATATGTGCATGAAATCCTAGAAATTGCCTTTTTTTTTTTTTTATTGTTGTTGTTCTTTTTTTCTTTTTCTTTTTTCAGAGCTGAGGACTGAACCCAGGACCTTCTAGGCAGGCGCTCTACCAATGAGCTAAATCCCCAACCCATGAAGTCCTAGAAGGACACACTGCTTACAATGTTTTTGTAATGAGTGTTCAGAGGCTAGGGAACAGAAGTTTGAGGAGGGAAGAGACTTTCATTGTCTATCTTTTAAAATTTTGAACATAAATCTATTAAGCAGAAGTACCCTTCCTGACACATACTCAGATTTTTAGACTAGGGATGAGGAAAGATCAGTGTCAGAGGTTGAATACTGCAGCCATCTGGATGTGGTCTGTGATTAAGTTAGTCCTCTGGATGAAAGGGGGACCTGCAAGCTTTGTTTTTCCTCATAGTTAAGCTTAGCAAAGATACTATGGCTTTTTTTTTTTTAAACTTTTTGAGACAGGTCTCCATGTAGTCCCAGCTGACCTGAACTCACTATGTAGACCAAGCTGGCCTTGAACTCACAGAGATCCTCCAGCCTCTGCCTCCCGAGTGTTGGGACTAAAGGTGTGCGCCACCACACCTGGCTTTAACTTAAAAAAATTTTTTTATTTATTTTTATTTTATGTGCATATGTGTATCGCCTGCATGTAGGTAAGTGCACCTGTGTTGTGCAATGCCCAAGAAGGTCAGAAGAGGCTGTCAGATCCCCTGGGACTGGAATTACAGACAGTTGTTAGCTGCCATGTGGGTGCTGGTATTTGAACCTGGGTCTTCTGCAAGAACCACCAGTGTTCTTAACCACTGAGCCATCTCTCCAGCCCCGATACTGTGGCTTTTAACGAGCCTGGGCTCACTTTTTATTTTTATTTAATTAACTAATTTATTTTTTGTGGTGAGGATTGAATCCAGGGCCTTGTGTCTGCTAGGTAAGCACTCTGCCACTGAGCCACATACCTAACTGGGGTATGCATGGTTCTAACCCTGGAAAAGAAGGAAAAGTCAAACAAGCATTTGGAAGATGGCAGCTATTTAAAGCTACAGTACCCCTCCCCATCCATTGCAATCTGTAGGTTCATTCCCAGGCCAGAGCTATAATGACAGCCTGGCCAGCAGGTCGGGAGCATCTGCAGGTTTTATCTAGGCCAGGACAACCCACAGGCAGCTCCTGGCTTAGGCCGCAGTGAATGCCTCAGCAAGGTGAGCAAACCACAGGTGACACACAGAAAGCACAGGAAGACAGAAGGTACAGGACTACAGACACTAAGAATGACGTGACTAAGGGCCGTGCTGCTCTTACAGCTTAGAACGGACAGGAAACAGGCTTGGGTGGGTTGTTGACTGACTAAAGTAGTCACAGACTTCACTGGGAACCCTCTGCTGCCCTGTGGTTTAGTAGGATGCCCTACCTGGGCTTCCATTCTTGTTTCCTTCTATGCAGAGAACTGAGGGACAGCTGCTGCACATGTATCATCATGTCTGTGGAGAAGACACAGGGCTATGGGTGAGGCTTCCATCATGTACCCAGCACAGCACCTTTCTGGGCTAGAAAACTAGACCTGTCACCTAGCCTGGCTGGCTGGATCATACCAGCCTTGCCTGCCATCTTGTGGCTAAATGTCACCTCTGCATTTACTGATAGGTAAGGACAGGGTCCTCTAGCCCTGGAAAAGCAATTAAGCTGGCCTCATGCTCTCACCTAGCAATAAATACAATTCAGTTTTGGACTGAGGTGCATTTATGACTCACCAAGGCCTAGAGACTACAACAGAAGAGCAGCGCCTGTGGGAGAGACCTGTTCTCTGAGTCACACAGGCATGTTCTTAGGTAGAAGACCCAGCAGGGACCTAGATCATGTTAGACCAGGAAATTCCTTTGTACAACCTGACTCCCCTGGAAGACCTTGGTACATCCCATCTTGATCAAGCCCCTAAGATGGATTAGGAAAAACCCTACTCAGAATGGAGCAGGGTATGTGCTCTGTCACAGTCAACTGATTCTGGAAAACTATTCTAGTATAAGTTTATCCCAACAACAAACAGATCTCATACAGTGACTGGAAATCCTATGGGGAAAAGAGGACACAAAATTGACAGTTGGGCCAAACTGGGTTGGAATATGGGCCACAATGCTCATTCTGGTAAGACTGTGGAGACTTTATACAATCTCTTTGAGATTCAATTTCTTCATCTGCAAGAGGGCAGCATTATGGTGAGGATTAAGCAGGTAATTCTTAGCACAGAGTAAACATCTAAAAAATGGTTACCAGTTTTAGGGTCATTTTCTTACTTAATTTGGGACCATAACAACTTTCCCACTAGTTGGAGGAAAGTTGTTCTATATTAATTAAAATGTTCCAGATCCCTCATCCACAACCCACACTTTGCTATCTACCCTGCTTTTCCACACCCTCCCATCTTGTGGAACAACACAGTAAATTGAGCACTTCTGTCTTCCAACTACCAAAAGCCTACATGACCGCCATTTCTTTAAAGGTGACATTCCCAGTCAAAGTCACCAAAGCCCCCCTCTGCAGGCACCGGGGTAGAAACAGTACCATCCACATGCAGGACCTTCACTCCAGGAGCGGGCGTTGGTCAGGAGGCTGCTGCTCCCACTGCCACCTCCACTGCTGCTCCCCTGAAATAACACAGCAGAGTCTTGAGGTTGGCGCATGATGGAGTACACATTGCTTTGAGAGCCCTAGGTCATCTGAGGGAGGATGTCCCTGGAGAGGTGTAGGAGAACACAGTGCCTGGAAGTCTACCTCAGTACCTAGGAAGATATACCCTATTCTCCACATAGGCCAGCCAGGCCAAGATGGCAGAGACTGGTGATATGTCCACATGTTCTGATCTGGCTACTTTGTGACTACATTTCTAAGAGAGCTGCTTGTCAAAGGGCCTCTGTGAGGAAGGCTGTCTGCACACAGCAAGCATAAATACCAGGAAGCTACACATGGGGTCATGCTATGATGCTCAGGTTGGCCTTGAACTTCTGGGCCCAAACGGCTCCCTGCCTTAGCCTCCTGGGTAGCTGAGAATACAGGCCCATGGCCACTGTGCCTGGCTGTACTCAGCAGAGTTTTGCTTTAAGGATTCTTGTGACAAGACCACCTGGACTCCTCTTGCCACTTAACTTTAATGGCCCTGGGTTCTCACAAAAGGGATAAACTGCTATCTGCAAATGTATAGAATGGATTATGTGCGGGGCAGGCATGTCCTGCCACATGCCTACAAAGTGCTCTCTTTTTTGAGACAGTCTCACTCTGTTATATAAACTGGTCTAGAACTTGAGACAGTCCTCCTCCTCACTCTCAAGTGCTGGGGTAACAGGTGTGACTGACCATGCCTCATGAGGTTTTCTTGCTAAACTTTGGAGTTGGCTTTGGCTTTAACACTTACTCCTGAATTGACTGGACAAATTACTGAACTCTGAGCCTCCACACCCTCATTTGTAAGAAGAAAGCGGTAACATTACTAATATCTCAGGGTGTAAATTTTGAGTTTGTACTTCTGAGGGATTTGGGAAGAAAGGCTAAATCCTTCCCTATGCTGGAGACATCCACTCACCTACCTCCAGTATGTGGGATTTTTGCCATATGGAAGAAGGTAGATGGGCTCAAACTTGAGCCCCTCCTGCCTCAGTCTCTCAAGTGCTGGGATGTGCCCTAATACAGACCTGTGCCCTAATGCTTATTTTGACCATGTTTAAGTGCACAGGTTATTGGTATTGTGTAATCATACCACTGCCCTTACCACCCCCTCAGTCCTATCATGCCCCAGCTCACCTGGTTTCTGATGGCTTTCTGTAGGAGCTCCTTTCTTTTGCTCATAGGCATCTGTCAGGGAGAGAAGAGCAGTGAGGTATGCTGGTAGACCATAACATGTGTACAGATGTTTACAAATGACTTGATGCCTTGGATCATATCCCTCAGAAACCCAGGGCAGTGACAGCTTGAGGATGGGCACAAATGAGGGTCTAGATGATCTTTGGCAGTTCAGGTCACCCAAAGGGAGGTACAACCTAAACCCAGTGGAGAGAGGTACTGTGATTTCACCCGAGGCCACAAACATTCTAAGACTTCTCTTTAAGTGTCTTTGTACTCTACAACACAAATGTTTCAGTCTAGAAAAATGTCTTTACTCTTTGGAAGTAAAGACTATTGTATTATTATGATACAATGGTTTAAGTTCATAGATTAAGGGCCTAAGTCTGGGCTGGAGAGATGGCACAGCCATTAAAGGCTAAGGCTAACAACCAAAATGTCAAAGAGCCTAAGTCAGCCAGGCATAGCGGCAGCACTCAGGAGGCAGAAGCAGATGGATCTCTGAGAGTTAGAGTTCCAGGCCGGCCAGGGTTACATAGTGAGACCCTATCTCAGAAAACATAAAACAAAAGAGCCTAAGTCAAACAAAAATAAGAATGTAAGCCTAGGGGAGAAAAACCGAATTTCACCCTACTTAAAAGCAAAACATGCACGCCTTTAATCCTAGCACTTGGGAGATGGAAGCCAGCCTGGTCTATACAATGAGTTCCAAGCCACCCTGTGGCTACAGGGAGATCCCTTCTCAAAACAAAAACAAAAACAAAAACAAAAACAACCAAACAAACAAACACAGGCAGGGGCTGGGGATGTGGCTCAGTTGGTAGAGGGCTTGCCTATCAGGCTTGAAGGCCTGGTTCAATCCCCAGTATGGCATAAAATGAGGTATGGTAGCCATGCCTGTAATCTTAGCACTCAAGAAGTGGAGGAAGAAGGGTCATAAGTTCAAGGTCAGCTCTGACTGCATAGTAAGTCCAAGGCCAGCCTGGGCTACACGAAACCTGTTTCAAAAAACAAAAAAGAAAAGGGACAAAGGGACGTGTGTATTGTACCAACTCTTGGCCCTCTCTACATAAGAGCCAGGGAGAAGGGGACTGCTGAGACTTTGGGGCCAATGCTAGGACAATTCCATCAAGTCCCTTCTGCTTTGCAGAGGACTCTTTTATTTCTGATCTTCCAACTCTGAAGTCCCCATAAAAAAGTGACATAGGTCAGCTGGGCATGGTGGCAAACGCCTTTAATCCCAGCACTCCGGGGGGGAGAGGCATGCGGATCTCTGCGAGTTCGAGGCCAGCCTGGTCTACATAGTGAGTTCCAGGACAGCTGGGGCTACAGGGAGACCCTGTCTCAAAAAGACCAAAAAAAAAAAAAAAGTGACATAGTGGCTGGGTGTGCTAGTGCACACCTTTAATTTTAATCCCAGCACTTGGGGAGGCAGAGGCAGGATGATCTCCATGAGTTCCAGGTCAGCCAGGGCTGCATAATGAGTAGTTAGACCATGTCTTAAAAAAAAAAATGTGACACAGCATAGAAGGAACAGTCTGAGGGTGGCTTGATGCTCAGCCACTTAGATCTAGAACTGTGATAAAATATTCTGTCCCTGAATGCAAATGAGATTACATTAAACCAGCTAGAACTAAAACCTGAGACTGCGGGAGGTGCTCACCAAAACCTACTTCCTTTGTCTATAGAACAAGTTTATAGAACAACACACTTTCCTGCCCCACAAGATTCTTATCAAGTCTACAGGCTTCTGTGGAGTCCTGATGTGGCTGCCTTTTGGCTTGTCCACAGAGAATGCTTTCATTCTGACCTTGCTGGGGCCGGGGATGGGGCATCCTCTGGGGCTTGTCCCACCACTCTGTGCTTTTGCTTCTCTGTGGCTGGACACAATGTAACTTCTTTGCTTAGAAAACCCTCAATTACCTGAAACCAGATCACAGAGATGGCTGAAAACCAAAAAGCAGATGTAGAATTGTCAATATCAGGAGGTTGGGAAAGGAAATCTTGGCTGCCAGAAATTCTAGAATCAATCTTTCTTTAAATAGACTCAATGCAGTTCTGTACTGAACCCTTCAGGAAGATGTCATCCTGAAATTGAATAGGGTTTAGATATATATAAAATACAGGTTTTGCCTCCAGAAACTACTGCTCCTGACCTAGCAGCAGCAGGCCACAGGCTCCAAGTGCTCTGACAATCTAAGACTGCATGCAGAAAGAACACACTGATGGAGGAGGTGGGATTCACAATGGCTATCAGTTTTCTATGTTAAGATACAATGAGCCATCCAAATACTGCATCTGAATTCTTGACCACAAAGTTTAAAGGAGCCTAAAAATGAAACAGAAAGGATTTGGACTAATATTCAGCTGTACAAGTGTCTGCCCACTTTATCAGACTATAAGCCCCTCAGAGGCACAGAGAGGATCCGACTTTCTTTTATACCCCAAGGCCCAGCCCAATATCTGAAGCATACTGACACTTAAATTACTTTTGTGGGAAGAAAAGATGGGCATAAAACACGGTGAATGGGTAGATGCTTAACAACTGACATTCTGGGGAATGAAAAATCCTCCTTTGTGACTGATTTGCAAGCCAGGCGTGGTGGCGCACGCCTTTAGTCCCAGCACTCGGGAGGCAGAGGCAGGCGGATCTCTGTGAGTTCAAGGCCAGCCTGATCTACATAGTGAGTTCCAGGTCAGCTGGGGCTGCAGGGAGACCCTGTCTCAAAAAGACCAAAAAAAAAAAAAAAGGGTTGAAAGTCAGTTCAGCCAGCTCCAGCTCACCACTGCACATAAGACAGGCATGACTCAAAGTGGGACTTGATGGGAAACATGGCACAAAGCTTAAAAGCAAATTAAATTCCTCAAAAAAGCTGAATAGAGAATTATCTGTACATCAATGTTCACTGCAGGATTGTTCATAACAGCCAAAAAGGAGAAAATGCCAAACAGATTAAACCGATGAATGCAGAAATAAAATGTAATATATCTATAGAATGGAATATTATTCAAAAGAAATAAAGTTCTGAGCAGTACTATAACATGGGTGAGCCTTGAAAACATGCCAAAGCCAGGCATGGGAGCATGTGACTGTAATTCCAGCACCTAGGTGGCTGAGGCAGGAGGATGAAAACTCTAGGCCAGGCTGGACTGCAAAGCAAGACTCTGTCTCTACAAATAAGCAAATAAACAATTTTACACTATGCAGAATAAGCCAGACACGGAAGGACAAATATCAGGTCTGATATGAAATATCCAGCCTAAACAAATCCATAGCAACGGACAGCAAGTTAGACATTACTAGGCCATAATGTGTGCTCAAACTAGACCTTACTCTCCCATTCCCACCTTCTGTTCCCGTAAGACTCCGTCTCAAGAATGTCCTAGGCATAGAAACAGAATGTCACTACAAGTCAGCTTGACAGTTTCTAGAAAAGACCTATGTCTGTCTCTTACTAGCTGTGTAACCCTGGACAAGTCACATCTCACTTAGTCCGAATGTATATTTCTTCACTTCTGAGGAAATGATAACAATAAATACATATTCCCACAGGAAGTTCATACGGAGTAAATAAAACACTGTAAATAGTGTCAGATGATGGTGGTATTGGGGAGATGTTAACATTTAAAAACTCTGAAATCACAGGCACCAACCACTGAGAGCAGTCCAGCTAGAAACATCTGGCATAGGGTTGGTGAGATGGCTCAGTGGGCAAAGGTGCTTGCCACCCAAACTGACGACCCGAGTTCCATCCTGGGGACCCATATGATGCAAGGACAGAACTTGTGAAAGCTGCCCTCTGACCTCCACATGCACAGTGGTATGGATACACACATAAATAAATAAATAATAAACAAACAAACAAATAAATGCAATGAAAAGAAATGTAAAGAAACATCTGTCAGAGTCATACTCTGAGTGCTTGTTGAATGCTAGCCCTAAGCACTGTGACTGTAGCTATTTTGACTCCTTTATTAATGCCAACTTCCTCAGAATTAGCCCTTTTGATTTTCAGTTCCAAACAAGATAAACACACAGGCCTATTGACTTAAGTGTATACTTTTTCCCCTTTTAAAAATGTTTATTATTTAAAAAAAGAAAAATACTTATTATTTTTGTGTGTGTATTATGACTGCATATATGTAAGTGCACCCATGTCATACAGTGCATATGGAGGTCAGAATAGGGTGTTGGATTCCCTGGAACTGGAGTTACCTATGGTTGTTAGCCACCATATGGGTGTTGAGAATCAAACCTGGGTTTTCTGCAAGAGCAGCTAATGCTCTTAATTGCTGAGCCATCTCTCCAACCCCCCTTTTTTCCTTTTGTTTGGCATTCACTAGGCCTTGGGTTCAATTCCCAGTACCACAAGAAAAAGAAAAGAAATTCATTCAGCTCATGGTTTTGACCCAAGGCCAAGGAGCTGTATCCGATGATGGCCTTTTTGCTGGTAGAGTCCTGAGACAATGCAGGTCATCACACGGCAAAATACAGAGAGAGCATGTGTATGACAGACTGTGTATGTGAATACTTTCAATGGCTTTTTAGCTAATTTACAGAGTTGTAGAATTCACACTAGAATCTATTTTGGAACATTTCTTTTTATTTTTTAATTCTTCAAATTATTTTTATTTACTCTTTTTATTTTATGTGTATGAGTGTTTTGTCTGCATATACGTAAGTGCACTCGTGTTGTGCAATGCCTGAAGAGACCAGAAGAGGGTGTCAGATCCCCTGAAACTGGAGTTATGGACAGTTATTTGCAGCCATGTGGGTACTGGGAACTGAACCCAGGTCTTCTGCAAGAGCAGCCAGCACTCTTAACTGCTGAGCTATCGCTCCTGTTTTGGAATACTTCATCACCCTAAAAGAACCACATGCCACTTGCAGCCATGCCTTGCTCCTGCCTCACCCCTGAGCAGCCTCTAATCTACTTTGTTTCATATATATGCCTTTTCTAAAGACTTCATACTAGAATCATACAATCCGTGGCCTTTTATATTTGTCTTTCCTCACATAGCATGTTTTTGAGGTCCAGTACTTTATTCTATTGCTAATTAGTGTTCTACTGTATGCACATAACAAATTCTGCTTATTCACTTATATTTAAACTGTTTCTCTTTTGTCACTATTATGAATAACACTGTCATGAATGTATACGTACAAGTTTTTGGGTAGATCTGCTTTCATTTCTCCTGAATATACACCTACAAGTAAAATTGCTAGGCCACATGTTAATTCTATGTTTAACACTTAAAGAATTTTATAATATATGAATTATATTGTAATAAGGCCATTAAGGAGGAAGGGGAAAAGAGAAAAAAGAAAAATTCTTAAAAATGTTGGTGTTTGCTGTGTGTGGTAATGCATGCCTTTAATTGAAGCACTTAGGAGGCAGAGGCAGGCAGATCTCTGTGAGATCAAGGCCAGCCTGGTTTACACAGCAAGTTCCAGGCCAGCCTAAGGCTACATAGCGAAGCCCTGTCTCAAAAAAACAAAACAAAACCAAAAAAGCCAGGTGTGGTGGTACACACCTTTAATCCCAGTACTTGGGAGGCAGAAGCAGGTGGATCTCTGTGAGTTCTAGGCTAGCTGGGCTACAGGAGACCCTGTCTCAATAAACAAACAAACAAACAAAAACCCCAAATGCTGGTGGTCATTTGGAGTAGCTCTGTGTTCTTTAAATCCTTAGAATAAAAAGGTATTTTTCTAATTAGAAATAATCACTTTATTTTTTAAAATTTTTATTTACTTTTAGTTTATGTGTATGAGTATTTTGCCTGTATGTATGTAAGTACACTAAGTGCATGCAATGTCCGTGGAGGTCAGAAGACGGTGTCAGGCCCCCTGGAACTGAAGTTATAGATGGTTGCTAGCCATCATGCAGGTATTGGGAACTGAATCTGTCCTCTGTAAAAGCAATCAGTGCTCTTAACCACTGAGTCATCTCTCCAGCCCAATAACTTTATTTTAAAAAATAGCTCAAACTTAAAATTGTATTGGGAAACACAGTGATGTCATTGGAAACGCCTGAAAAGCACAGATACGATCCCTCTGCAGCTCCTATTTGACAAACTGGAGAGGCATATGGGATCGTAGGAGTGACACATGTTACATAGTCCACCCAGCTGCTGGATAGCCCCTGTTAAAAACTCAACTGGGCTGGTGGTGCACACCTGTAGTCCCAGCACTTGGGAGGCAGAGGCAGGCGGATCTCTGTGAGTTGAAGGCCAGCCTGGTCTACTTAGTGAGTTCCAGGCTAGCTGGGGCTACAAGAAAACCCTGTCTTAAAAAATGCCAAATTGCTGGGCGTGGTGGTACACACCTTTAATTCCAGTATTTGGGAGGTGTTGGATCTCTGTGTGTTGGAGGCCAGCCTGGTCTACATAGTGAGTTCCAGGCCAGCTGGGGCTTCAGGGAGGCCCTGTCTCAAAAAGACCAAAAAAAAATAAAAAAATAAAAAAAAAGGGCCAAATAATAATAAGATAATAAGTGTGCACCACCACACCTGTTCAGCAAGTATTCTATCAACTGAGCTACAGTCCTGACCCAACAAAGAGAACCTTAAAGTTTGAGGATAACAAATATCCTCAAAAGGCAGGGAGCACATAAAGCAGGGAGAGCAGTTAAAAGGCAGGGAGCACATAAAGCAGGGAGAGCAGTTAAAGGAAAGTGTTGATTCCCAGTTCAAACTGGTGCCCTCTCCCTCCCCCAAAAATATAGAATTAATTAAAAAAAAAAATCTTAGGACCTAAAAAAAAAGAATTGGGATGTGGGTCAGTGGAAGAGTGTCTGCCTGGGATATACAGGTCCCTGGCCCAGGTGCAATCACTAGCACCAGCAAAAACAATAAAAAAGGTAAAGGATGTGAATAAACATTTCTCCAAAGATATGCAAACTGCCAACAAGCAGATGAAAAGGTACATAAAATCATTAACTATCAAAAATGCAAATCAATAGCCAAGCATGGTGGTGCATGCCTTTAATCCCAGCCCTTGAAGGGAGTCAGAGGCAGGCTATGTAGTGAGTTCCAGGCCAGCTGTGGCTACAGGAAGGTCTCAAAAACACCAAAAAAAAAAAAAAAAAACTCTGCAAAGAGCTCTCCTTGATTTACAGCTTTGCAAGAGCCTCATAAGTAAGCGCTAAACTCTTTTTCAACCAGTATGACAATGATGTCACTGTTCTAATGTCTCAGGAATCCTGTGCTGAGGGCAGGAGTCATCAAACTGAATGTGCAATGGAAGCTATTCAGTAAGATTTGGCCAGAGTCCACCTGAAATCAGAACCCCATGCAGTGTTGCTTGCACTAAAGAGGGCAGCCAGATCCTGCTGCTCACCAGAAAGAAAACTCCATGTTGACAACCACATTGGGTTCTCAACTGTGGGATGTAATGTGGATGCTAGACTGTTATGTAATTTTACACACCAATAGTGTTTGGATTCCAGATTTGCATTTGACAGACCACTTCCTGTATCATGTCTTGTATCTCTAATTGGAAACAAGACCCAGATACCAACACAACGGTATGGCCAGAGACCATATGGTGTGAGGTTGCTTACTGCTGGCTATGATGCTATGAGTCCTCACATTTTCCAAACCTGCCCATATGCTAACTATTTTAACTGCAGTTATGTCCACTAGAGCTCATTTTCAACCATCTTGTACTTACTTGGAGAAACATATGTCTAAATTTATGGACTGCAATTTAAATAACTGGTTAAACATGGTCTGTGTGCCTTGAGAGGGACACGTTCTGCAGAGCAAAACATAACAACAAAGAATGCTTCCACTGGAACTGTTGGTAAACACTGGGAGTTTACAGAAAGACCACAGACAAAGGCAGAGACACATCCTGCTGATGAACCAGTGGAACATGAATAAAACCAGCCACTGCATATGTTAACATGGAAGAATGCTGACTCAGAAGATACATAGTGGCGGATGGATACGTTTTAGGAGTCAGTCCACGTGGGGGTTTTTCCCAACCAACTTCACTGAAACATACAGTGGAGTTCTTGAGAGTCTAAATAATCATTTTTTAAAAAATTTATTATTATTATTATTATTATTACTATTACTATTTTGGTCTTTTTGAGACAGGGTCTCCCTGTAGCCCCAGCTGTCCTGGTACTATGTAGACCAGGCTGGCCTTGAACTCTACCTGCCTCTGCCTCCTGAGTGCTGGGGTTAAAGGCGTGGGACATCACACCCGGCTTTTTATTTATCATTTTTATTTTATGTGTATGCGTGTATTGCCTGCATGTAAGTAAGTGCACCCATGTTGTACAATGCCTGCAGAAGACAGAAGAGGCTGTCAGATCCCCTGGAACTGGAGTTACAGACAGTTGTTAGCTACCATGTGGGTGATGGGATTTGAACCTGGGTCTTCTGCAAGAACAGTCAATGTTCTTAACCACTGAGCCATCTCTCCAGCTCTTCATTTTCTTTTTAGAAATTTTTGTTATTTTTATTTTATGTGTATTAGTGTATTGCCTGCATGTAGGTGGGTACGCTCGCATCATGCAATGCCCACGGTGGTTGGAAGAAGGTGTTGGATGCTCTGAAAGTGGAGTTACAGACAGTTGTTAGCTGCCTTGTAAATACTGGGACTTGAACCTGGGTCCTCTGCAAGAGTAGCCAATGCTCTTAACCGCTGAGCCATCTCTCTAGTCCCCTAAATAATTGTTTTCTATATATTTGTACTAATCTTCCCCCCATTCTTTTCTAGTGCTGGGGCTTGAACCCAGATTTTTTTTTTTCTCTCTCTCTCTCTCTCTTTTTTTTTTTTGGTCTTTTTGAGTTCCAGCTAGTCTGGAACTCACAATGTAGGCCAGGCTGGCTTTGAACTCACAAAGATCTGCCTGTCTCAGCCTCCCAAGAGCTGGGATTAAAGGTATGCACCACCACATGCAGCTTTGAACTCAGATTCTTAACATGAGTCAGGCAAGGGCTCAGTAGAGCTGTGTCCTTAACTCCTATTCTAAGGTATTTTTGTTTTTGTTTTGGTCCTTTTAAGACAGGGTCTGCCTGTAGTCCCAGCTGGCCTGGAACTCACTAAGTAGATCAGGTTGTCCTCAATGTTAAGAGTTCCACTTGCCTCTGACTTCTAAAAGGTTAAAAGGTTATGTGCCACCATGTCCGATTTAAACTAAGGTTTTTAATTATTTTATTATTTTTATTTTTTGGTCTTTTTGAGACAGGATCTCCCTGTAGCCCCAGCTGTCATGGAATTCTCTACGTAAACCAGGCTGGCCTCCACCTGCTTCTGCCTCCTGGGTGCTGGGATTAAAGGCATGCACCACCATGTCTGGCTTAAACTAAAGTTTTAATATTCAGAAAATATTATCTTTGTGGGTTTTAAATATTTTGTTATTTTTATTTTATGTGTACAAGTATATTGCTTACATGTATGTGTATGAGTATATTGCCCATGTCATACAATGCCTGCAGAGATCAGAAGAGGGTGCTGGATTCTCTGGAGCTGTAGGTTACAGACAGTTGTTAGCTGCCATGTGGGGGCTGAGACTCAAACCCACATCCTCTGCAGGAGCAGTCAGTGCCATCTCAACCACAGAGCCATCTCTCCAGCCCCCTGTACACATATTTTAAAATAAATTTAAAAAAAAGACAGTTAAGAGCAGTGGCTACTCTTTCAGAAGACCCAGGTTCAACTCCCAGCACCCACATGGCGACCAACAACTGTCATAACTCCAGTTCTAGGGGATCCAATGCTTTCTTCTGATCTCCAAGAGCAGCGCATGACACAGGAACACTCACATACATGCAGGCAATATACTCATACACATAAAATAAAAATAATAATGAAGGACAGTGGACAGTAACTACAATAGAAAAAACTGGCAGATCCTACTTTAATTGAGTAATGAAAGTTAGTGTGACCAACAATAAAACTCATCCTCACTAAGGCAGGTGTGGTGGTGCATGCCTTTAATTCCAGTACTGAGGAGGCAGGCAGAGCTCTGTGAGTTCCAGGACAGCTGGGGATATAGGGAGACTGTCTCAAAAATACCAAAAACAAACAAAGAAGCAAAAAAACCAAAACTCTTCCTCACTAAGAGGTTCCTGACAATGACTGGATAATGGGAAAGCCACATCATTTCTGTGCCAAAAACACACAACCTAAATTCAACCAGGAGGACTTTCAAACAATGAATTGAGACATTCTGTTCTTCCAAAGCACTGAGGCCATCGAAGATAAAGAGTTGCAGATTCCTCCCAGAGGGAAACTAAGAAGGTATGACAATGAAAAACAAGTGTGACCCTAACCCAGATCTTAACCCAGAAAAAGGTCATTGGAGGACAGCTGGTAAATGTCTGTAAGGGGCTGGAATGTAGCTTAGGTACATAGTACATAAAAGTGATTGCCTATCATGCTGATCTCAAGCAACACACACACACACACACACACACACACACACACACACACACACAGATAAGGAGTGGGGGAGTGAGGGGAGGAGAAGCTTATGTTTAATAGGCAAAGGGAGGGGGAGAAGGGGGAGGGAGAAGGGGAAGAAAAGAAATGCAGAAAAAGCTGCACTCAGAAGGCTGAGGCGGGAGGATTGTCATGAAAAAACTGGAAGCAGGAAAATAGAGGGGGTGAGTGAAAAACAAGAGTCAAAACAGGAGAGCCAAGTCTGAAGTCAGCAAGAAGCAGGCTGCTGTGGCTGGAACAGGAAGCGTCCCCAAAGGCTCATGTGCTAAAGGCTTGCTTCCCAGGTGGTGGTGCTATTTTGGGAGATGATACAGATTTAGGAGGCAGTAAGGCTGGAGGAAGTTAAGTAAGGTGCTAGGGGGAGTCCCCTGCAAAGACAGACCTAGTTCCCAGCCCCTTCCTGTCTCTAGCTACTCAGTAGTTGTTCCTTTCACCGTGGTGTTCTGCCTTAGCACAGGCCCACAAGCAATGCAGTCAGCCAACCAGACTCCAACCTATGAAACTGTCAGCCCAGATAAATCTTCCCTCCTTTCATCTGTTTGTCTCAGGTATTTAATCAAAGGATAAACACTCTGGCTAACACCACAGGCAAGATGATTAGAGCTGAACGGCCCTAAAATCAGAGGGGTGATGAGCTTCCAGAATGCTGACAAGTAAGCTACGTTTAACAGAAAGGACTAGAGGATTCTTCTTTAGAGACCTCAGTGGACCAAGATTAAGCATATAAATTATAGGCTCCTCCCTTAGAAAACTTCCCAGCCTGCTCACCACAATGAAATCTACTAGCTGACAACTCCCTCTAGCTGGCACTTTCAATGAACATTTTATTGCCTTTTTTTTTTTTTAGTATTTTATTTATTACTATTGTGTATGCATGTCTGTGTATGAGTGTGTGGGCACATGCATGACATGGTATGTATGTGTAGAGGCAGTTCTCTCCCTCAACTGTGGGTTCAAGAGACTAAACAGACTGTCATTAATACTCTGAGAGAGGCTAGGGAGCATCTTGTATCCATTAGGCACGACAGGACATGACAGCTTGCCAGGACGGGAGGCTCAGTGGGGAAAGTGTTTGCCATCCTGAAGCATGAGAACCTGAGTTTGGATCCCCAGCACCCATTTAATGCCAGGAGTGGTGACACTCCTAATGTTG